TAGCAATCCGGCAATAAAAAGTTCCCTCTGTCTGTAGCCTACGGTTGAAATGTTACGTAATGCAACGTCGTTAGCGGACGCGCCGGGAGAGGCGCCACCAACGTTTATGCAAACAATCTCTGACGTTTAAAAAAAAAAATATAGTTAATGAATATTTATCAATAACTTTTATGTCGAATAATTTTAAATTACTTTAACTAAAAATATGTATGCAGCCCCGGGTAATGGTTTCCGTTTGAGTCATTTGGCGATAATGGCTTAATTCTAATTGCTATCTTTAAACTACTTATCTATAGGCCCACCTCTGTACCAGGAGTATGTGCCAAACTCTGCGGTGCGGAAGTTTTTAATTGCGATGAAGACGTATTCTCCGGATGTCATCCCCAAGCCGTGGGCTTCAAGCAATAATTTCCTCACATCGTTGCCAAAGCCAACGATGACGATGACTACAATAAACGGCACGGTTGTATCGTATTTTCGTGACACTTCGTATTGAATTTACGTGTAAAAAAGTCTACATTAAACGCATAAGTTGTATGGTACTTACATGTAGGATGTTGCTGATGACGTAAATAAATCTAATAATAGCCACTAATTAATGACCCTTAAACTTATTCTCTTTTTTTCTAAATTAATTACCTACATATTTTACAGGGGCGGATCCAGAGGGTTTGGGTGACCAGTTTCCATAGTTCTAGTCACAGCTAGGGGGTCCGGGGGCATGACCCTCGGGAATTTTTTACAAATTAGGCTATATTTGGTGAATTCTGGTGAATTTTGAGGGTCAATTCTGAAGATACCCAGCATAGCTGTGACCGGTTTCAGGAAACCGGTGCAAACCGGCCTAAATCCGCGTCTGTTTTAACACGTTATTGTGACATTACGACTGCTCGTGGTCCGACAAACTGTTCGATTGTTTGTTACGAAATGTAAAATGTGTATGCACGTGTGCTACTGGGAGGGGGAAGTGTTAGTCTGTGATTTAGACTCACGGACACACATGAGAAAAAAAAATTCGTTATTCGATTCAGATTTGTTTCTTTTAACAAAATACGAATAATCCTCCCACATCAAAGGCGACAGGAAATTGTTCTTTCTCGAGGTTCCTTGCATCATGCATATGCAGCATATGGCGACGAATATATATTTTTAATAGACATTTTTATGAAGCCTAACAATACAATTTTGCGTTACTATCTTATGAAACTCAGTCAGTAAAATAGTCAGTTAGTATAGTAAAAGTACAGTCTCGATTAAAACACATAGGTATGAGGCGTTGCACATGTTTGCTATACGCGCGCCTGTTAATCAATATCGCGACTATATAGTGAATAAATTTGTAAAAAAAAGTTTGGCGCCCCCTCGCGGACAGGGACCTAGGGTATATAAGGAGGAGAAAACACGCTGAAAGGCAATGTAAAAAGTTGTAAAAAGTTTGAAGAATCTGACGAAGACTACCACAAGTCGAAACTAGTCGTTCATTGCTAACTTTGTGTAGCAATTTATTAAACAAAACGTTTTTCATACACATATATAATGGCAACACCAAAACAGCAAGTTAAATCCACGTGGGGGTAACTCAGTTGAACTGTGCCCCGTAGAGGCTGTCCAGGCCTCTTCTTCACACATGTCCCTATATAGTGAATAAAGGTCAGTCATATATCGACTACATATATATATATATACTACATAGCTGTGCGTGAGACGTAGTAAAGTGCAGAGACAGTGTTAGTTTCAAATTTGACTGACAGTAAAAATACACGAATTATTTTTACTCAAGTAAATTAGTTATACATATGCACACACACGCGCACGCACGCACACACGCACTCACTCACACACACACACACACCCACACACACACACACACACACACA